AAATCGGGCGAAATGTTTTGTGCTGCCTCTTTTTTCTATCATATCAATTATTTAGGCATTCTGCTGCTTAATCAACATCTCTTTGTCTGTTGGCCGAAGTGCCACAGTCAGACCACTTTGATAAAGCTAATTATCTTAACCTAGTTATATCGCATTACTAGGCTGCAGTTTGATAATAGAGCTCACACTCGGGCAGATTATTGAGATAATGGTGAGAGGGATACACATTTGACTTTAATAAGCATCGTATGCCATAGGCTACTGTTAGCTTGGTAGTTTGTTGCCAGGTGTTACAATAAAAATATATATATATTGTAATTAAATATGCATAATTATTAAACAAATATGCTAATTGCAATAGGCTGATGGGTAGAATGTAAAACAACATTGAAATCTGACCAATTATTTCTATTAATACTAGCAAATATTTACCGCTGGCAATAAGCTGAAGGGTGTGTCGCCCCCTAGAGGCTGTATCTTAACCGTTGGAAGGTCTTAAAAGTTTTTAAATACTTGGATACATTTATGGGATAATTACCAGAGGACTTAAGTCCCGAGTCAAGACAGACAAGTCCCGAGTCAAGACAGACAAGTCCCGAGTCGAGACAGTCAAGTCCCGAGTCGAGACAGTCAAGTCCCGAGTCGAGACAGACAAGTCCCGAGTCGAGACAGACAAGTCCCGAGTCGAGACAGTCAAGTCCCGAGTCGAGTTGCAAGTCCTCAGCTTTAAGATTCATGTCTTAAACAAGCCATTAGTGCTTTTTGCCCAAATTAGTATCTCAGTATTAATTACCATATCAAATTCATAGTAATTTTTATCAGGAAGGCAGGTCCGAGTCGAGACAGACAAGTCCCGAGTCGAGACAGACAAGTCCCGAGTCGAGACAGTCAAGTTCCGAGTCGAGACAGTCAAGTCCCGAGTCGAGACAGTCAAGTCCCGAGTCGAGTTGCAAGTTAGCCAAATTAGTATCTCAGTATTAATTACCATATCAAATTCATAGTAATTTTTATCAGGAAGGCAGGTAGAATATTTGACATAGTTCAATTTCATGTGAGATGGGTGCCCTTAGTAAAACTACTCAAGTTCAATTTAGGGATTGTGCCAAAATAGGATAAGCAGTGAAAAAACTATTTTATTAGTAACAGAATAGCAAAGACAACATAATTGCATAGAAATAACAGCTGCAACATGTGTGCATAAGAATAGCTATATGCTTCTAGGTGTTATATCTAAGCCAATGAGACATTATTTGGAACCTCAATGAAACAGATTTAAAAATATGTGAGCGGAAACTCAGAAAGAACAGCTTTGAAAGAATTAGAAGAAATAACTGCTAGCATACTTTACAAGAGAGAGGAAACATGCAATATGGATGCAGACAAACTCATGAAGACAATCATTCAAAAATGCTGTGCTTTTATAACTAAGAGCAACAAAGACAAAATCATTTAATAGAAAAAAATGTTGTATGTTAAATGTTAAGTTTATAATACGCATAGTTGATCACTAAATTTAGGGGCTGTGTGCGCTATTGGCCTGCAGACTGATTTACAACACGTGAATTCATTCATTTATCCTGAAAGAAATGGAAGTGACATGAGTGCCTGCAAGAGGGAGAAAAATATTTTATAGTTATATATACAATACTCATTTTGTGAAAAAAAACACTTCTTCAAATTATATTTTAAATGATCATTAGGCCTATTGCCGCTTGCTCACTTCAGACATTAGGTTTAATGTGCATTTTTCTTCTTCAAATTATAGCTGAATGGTTTGCAATGATTAATTTTAAATCTAGATTAAATCAAGGTTTATCTAACAATTCTGTTGCACCAAACTTCAAACCTTTAAAAATAAGCAGGTTTAAATTTTTAACCCATCATTTTGATCGGATTTAAGTTATATTTAAGATTAACTTTAATCCTGTTGCACCATAACTTTAAACTCAGATTAAAATCTCAATTATGGATTAACTTTAAATTGAACTTTTAAATGCATACCTCGGGTCTTTAGCGACCCGGGACAGCATTCTCTCCCCTCTCCCTCCTTCATTTTTTAAAGTTAGACAGCAACTTTCTTAGTATTCCTCAATCTATTAATTATAAACAATATAACAAGAAAAAAAATTGTAAAATATAAAAGAATGCCAGTTTTCTAATAAATTTTTTGTAAAAAGTGTATAGGGTCGCTAGAAACCCGAGGTATGTAAATGTGTAAGTATTTTTTCCTGCGGAACTATATTTACATATCTGATGACTCAATATGTGCAATGCATCTTTTTTCCTCAAGGTGGCACTGTTTGATACACAATAATGATGCGACGTTTCACTCATAATTCCCGCAGGCATAAAACAAACGAATATCATTAGCAAAAATTTAACAGGTTTGAATGGCTTTACTGCACAGCAATTACTATACGCAATGAAATATAAATGTCACTGTCATTTGATGCTAGATGTGTTGAATCAGCCAGTGATCAAAATATTGAAAATGAAGCCACTGAAAACAATAGTTTTGAGAATAGGTTGAGATCGTGAATATGAGGCAGATGCTGAATGTACTGTGGAAGTGTGCTCTGGCCATGACAGCAATGATAAAATCATCTGCTCAAATTGAACTTAAACACTAGTACCTAAAGATTAAGCACTAGTAGATAAAGCATAAGCACTAGTACCTAATGAATAAGTACTAGTACTTAATGGAAAAGATACTAGTATCTAAAAAATAGGTACTAGTACCATGAAAATAGATACTAGTACGGCTTATAGATTAAATGTTACAACGGCTTTCCATAGGAAGTGTGCTCTGGCCATGACAGCAATGATAAAATCATCTGCTCAAATTGAATTTAAATTTTAAGTTTCAAAATGTAATGAAATATGCTTCATTTTATTCTTCTGTAATTGTTCTTAAAATATCAAGAGAGTTTTTTGCTATTGCAGCAGTTAAAGATCCATCCGTGCTCGATATATAGGTTCGGGTCGCTAAAGACCCGAATATGTAATAATGATTGGCAAAACATTCATGCATTTAAGGGTTAATGGAGGTTTAAATAAATAAAAAAATGCACATGCAATTAAAATATGTAACTGATCGAACAAAAACTGTGGAGATCTGACAAAAACAGGTCTCAGAGGTGTTTATTACAAATAAAAATGAAAATGAAAGCACATGAGTTGGCAGAGTGCGAGGGTCGTGGTGGGATGCGGATCCTTCACTCATCAAGCACTCATGGTGCACCTCGGTGTCGGACAAACAGAAGAAGTGAGGAATATTTAACAGCAGCGGTCACAGTGATCGTTTCTCATGCCCGCTCCGTGTGTCTGCGGGGCGGCGATCAAACGCACAGGGCAGCGCTTTTCACGAGCGGAGATCGCTAGACGAATCATGTCATTTTTTATTTTTTTTTATCTCTGTTCTTTTGTCGTAAGTTATGCTATTACTCCAGTAATTTATACTAGCCTATCCAGCGCTCCCTGAACGCAGTCTCTGGCTTATTGCCAGTAAAGCGCAAGCATGCTGCAGGGATATGGAAAGCCGTTGTAACATTTAATCTATAAGCTGTACTAGTATCTATTTTCATGGTACACGCGTCTATAACGACTTTGATCTGATCATAAAGTCTTTCCGAGTCACAGGGCTCAAGTCCAAGTCAAGTCTCGAGTCATTGCTGTCAAAGTCGAAGTCGAGTCTCAAGTCTTCTTTAGTTATGTTGAGTCGAGTCGCAAGTCATCAAATTTGGGACTCGAGTCCGAGTCAAGTCTCGAGTCCACACCCCTGATAATTACTATATTTATCTTTTGCTAAAACAGAAACATTGTCATAATTCCAAATATCTAAACAAGTGAAGGCAAGCAATCTTATAATCAGTCATTTCTTATGAAACTGCTGCATTTGTGCTATAACAGTTCATTTAATGGTGAAATTAAAAAAAGAGCCAAGATGCACTTTTCTTACCTTTAAAATGCATATTTACATTACTTTTTATTCTCCTTCGTGCAGGGTCTTTATTTAAATTGAATAAAGCATTAAAGAAGAGAGATCATCTCTGTAGGAATAGGATATGTGGCGGGAAATATCAGAAACAAATAACTGAGAATGAATACTGGCACTTTTTTAGTTTTACAGAATACAGCTTTTTTTTTAAATGTAACATTGAAAGACAAATAAAAAGAATAAAAAGAAGAATGAGTCCTGCTAGGCATTTTGAACTGAACAGAAAAGGCTCAGTTAATGTAGACAAACCATTTTCTAGTGAGATGAATATATACAACAAAATTCACCTAATAAAAAATGATCGTTTATGATCAGAAACGTTTTGATCGTTTATGATCTTGAAAAACTGACATTTTTAAAATGTCTTTTGGGAATAACATGGCTTTAGATGATGGCCTAAATGCAAAACTGCTTAAGGCTGTTACTGTACATAAAGCTTATGACACTTCATTATTTTTTAATGAAGGGTTCAACCAACACAGATGTTCACAACATTTGCATAATCATTTACATCAAGGTTTTACCAAACGTGGCCTTCAAATGCATGCGCCATGTGGCACATACAATCATCACTATGTTAATTATACCTAATGCATATAGAATCATATTCAAAATATACATTTTCTTCCAGTATGTTTTTATTGTTATGTTTGTATGATGTCAGTGGTGGCTAAAATCATATTAGCACAGCTTCACTGTAGTAACAATAACTGTAGTGGTATTCTAGCGAAAACAATGGTTGCCAAGGTGATGTTTGTAAGGGAACAGATCAGCTTGGGAACCACAGTAAAATAACTACCAAATGTGAGGAGAAAAATGAATCACAGCAGATGATAGCAATATCTTAATACAGCTGCAAATTAAATATATTACACTGAATTGTAAAATGTACAGCTCGCTTCATTTAGGCTATACAATTTCTGTATCAAATCCATGTGTGTGTATATATATATATATATATATATATATATATATATATATATATATATATATATATCACATGCTGTCATTTGTCTATAAAACATGGACTTTTTATATCTGAGGTGGTAGGATACGCCATGCTAAACATTTAGCTGTTAAATGAAATGAACACTATATTGTCTATAACAAGCCTGTATTGGCTTATCATAGTCATCCAAACTATAATAAATGACTTAATTTATTTTTAACTTTACATCAGTATATAAAATGACAGCACTGAATTACACCTGCATATAGAAAGGTAGTTACGGTTTCTAAAAAATGAACATTCTCCGTTATTTGACACAGATGAGTAGTTTCAGAACAATCATTCACAACACCTGAGCTTCACTCAACTGCACTGTTTACATATGGCACTTTTTTAATGAGTCTGTGAAGTAGGTGAGGCATAGCACTCGTACTGGGACAGCACAAACACCGAGTGGGACATGCCTTGTGTGACTCTGTCTTTAATTTCAGTGGCCAAAAAGAAGATCAAGATAAAATCGAAGGTATTTATGGTGTGATTCCGCTGGTTTCTCAGGCACAGGTGACTCTGATGTCATAGGCTTAAGCCCATAATGGGTTTAGCTGTCTGGGGAATCCTGCCCAGAGTCCTGTTGTCAGCTGGGCAGATAGCAGGATACTATAACACTGTGGCCTCTTCCATTGCGTTTACCCACCTGTAGAAATAAGTTTCATTTCTTTATCGTAATTCTGAGGATTTCAGTTGTCAATAAACAATGCATCATCACAATGATTTTATTTCTCTAAAGGTGTGCAGCATGACTCTTGGGTGTCATACCTGCTTGCAGTATGCTGGTCGTCTGCTCTGAAGGTGTAATACAGTGTTTTTTTATGGTACAGCTGGAAAACGTTGTCTTTGTCTTCCCCCTCTGATCGATCCGAGAGCTTCTTCACAGTAAAACCCTGCAGAGGAAGACTTTCAGATGCCACTTTATCCTGCAGACACAGAAAACAGAGAGAGAGAGGTTAAATGTATGCAGGGGATGTGCTATATTCTGGTGCTAAAAAGTATTATCATTTTGCATATTTCAGAACCTGGCCCAGATAAAAATGTGCTTTTATTCAGCACAGTTCAGCAGTTCAGACAATGTTACATAAAAGTTCTTTAATGAGATTTATTAAATTTGACATTATAATTGTTTCATTCTGTAATTTATCTGTAATTCAAATCTAGATAAGATGCAGTCTCAGAAGTATTTAATGTGAATATATATATATATATTCTCACATTAGTTCATTAGTTTGGGGTCAGTAAGACATAATTATTTAATTTGTATTAATATATTTTTTTATATTTTTATGAATTATTTTATTAATATTTAATATTAAGCAGCACACTGTTTTCAACATTAACAATAAGCAGACCACAAATCAGCAACAATGATTTCTGACAGATCATGTGACACTGAATGCTGGAAATTCAGTTTCGCCCTCACAGAAAATTGCCATTTTAAAATATATTAAAACAGAAATTTCTAAATTGTAATAATATCTCACAGTATTACTGTTTTTACTGTATGTTTGAACAAATAAATGCAGCCTTCTTTCAAAATTTTTTAAAAACCTTATTGACCCCAAACTATTGAATAGTAGTGTTAACAAATTATGAATATTGACAGCCCTAGTTGTATTTCATCAGTCACACAAAGCAGTTTATTTGTTGCCTAAGGTATTGATTTAGTAATGGTGCAAGGAAGTACGTAATGTAGTGTCTGTGCTGGTGTGGGAGACTCTGGGTCCCCTCACCTCTCGTGCTTTAAAGGTGTAGAGCACCTTGTCTTTGAGCAGAAACCACAGCCTCTTCCACTTCCTTGTGCTCTTTTTGCGTCTTTGCAGACTGCCACTCATAGTGGACCCCTCTGCACCCACAGATACCTGCACACACCGAGACTTTTTTAACCCTGAGTAATTATGTTTTTGGGTAAGACATAAAAATACCTCATTTAAATAATTGAATGTGAATGTTAGCATTTGTGTGTGTACCTGTGTGAGAGGTGAAGTGCTCTTTCTGTTCCTCCACAAGCTGGGTGGCTGTAGGCTCTGGAACACAGCAGAGAGAGGCCTGCTGGCCCTGTGTGTGCAGGGACTGGCACTCCCACATGATCCTGGAATATTACCACCTACATACACATCATACACTGACATTAACTAGACAGCTATTATGATGCTTTAAATGTTTAAAATGGAAATAGGCTTTTTTGTTTAAACAATCAATTTCAGATGAATAATGAAGAATAACAGAAATAAATATATTCTTGATCATATTCTAAAAAAAAACATTTTAACTGTGATGGAGATGGTTCAGATCAGCATCCAATCAAAGTGAACAGTTTACAGTGCATGAACAATTTTTGTACCTGTGTGAGAGGTGAAGTGCTCTTTCTGTTCCTCCACAAGCTGGGTGGCTGTAGGCTCTGGAACACAGCAGAGAGAGGCCTGCTGGCCCTGTGTGTGCAGGGACTGGCACTCCCACATGATCCTGGAATATTACCACCTACATACACATCATACACTGACATTAACTAGACAGCTATTATGATGCTTTAAATGTTTAAAATGGAAATAGGCTTTTTTGTTTAAACAATCAATTTCAGATGAATAATGAAGAATAACAGAAATAAATATATTCTTGATAATATTCTAAAAAAAAACATTTTAACTGTGATGGAGATGGTTCAGATCAGCATCCAATCAAAGTGAACAGTTTACAGTGCATGAACAATTTTTTTACTATTTGTAACCCTAACACTGTTTAAAGTCTGATTCATTTTGGAGTCTTTTGCTCTTACCTCTCTTTATGAGCTCGGCGTAGCAGTGGTCACAGACTTTAGCCATCCTGTCCTTCAGGTACTTTAGTGGATACCTGTTCCTTGAGCAGGAGCGACACACAACCTAAAAACAGAAAGTATTGAGAAAGTAGGGTCACAATTTAATGCTGATATTCAGTATACATTACCGTTTAACAAGTTTGGGGTCACTAAGATTTAAAAAAAGAAAGAAATTAATACTTTTATATAGCAAAGATGCATTTAAATTTCAAAAGTGACAGTAAATACATTTGTTACAAATAAATTATATTTCAAATAAATGCTGTTCCTTTGAACTTTCTATTCATCGAATAATCCTGAAAAAACTGTATCATGATTTCTACTGTTTTCAACATTCATAATAAGAAAATAAATTTTTCTTGAGCACCAAATTATCATTTAGAGTGATTTCTAAAGGATCATGTGACACTGAAGACTGGAATAATGGCTGCTGAAAATTCAGTTTTGACCATCACTGGAAAAAATAAAATTTTTAAAATATATTCAAATAGAAAACTGACATTTTATATTGTCATAATATTTCACAGTATTTCTGTTTTACTGTATTTTGGATCAAATAAATGCAGCCTTGCTGAGCATAAGAGAAACATCAGTGTGTATCATATAAAACAATTCAATAATTACAAATAAATTATAACAAAATCCCTGAAATCTACTTTACAATATTTCCTCAAAATTCACTCAAAATATTGGAAAACTGTGCCCTATAAAGTCAGCATATTACTCTGAATGAAGTAAACAATGAACAAAACCCTTATTTGACACAAGGGGGAGCTGACAATTTTGTTGACCAGCCAAGTGGGCACCGCTATCAGCCGGTGCCAAATACCTGCTGACTAGCTAGGCTGATCTACTAATAATCCAGGGGTGTCCAAACCTGCTCCTGGAGGGCCACTGCCATGCAGAGTTTAGCTCCAACCATAATTAAACACACCTGAAGCAGCTAATCAAGCTCTTTGGACTCAATAGAATAGTTCAGGCAAGTGTGTTGGACCTAAACTCTGCAGGACAGTGGTCCTCCAGGAACAGATTTGGACACCCCTGTACTAGTCAATCAGTAATAACAATCCTATTCATAATACCACAGAAAAAAATGTTTCTTTGAAAGCAAAAAATAATGACAATTCGATAAAATGCTTGAATAAAGTGTTATTTTATTTGGTTGAAAACAAAACATACATAAGTACCATATACAGTATAAAAAAATTATTCATATAATTCTGTGAAATATCCACTATTATAACCCTGTTGTTTGATAATTGATTGTAAAGACCATGTTAAATAATTTACTGTAAAGACCACCTCTGAGTGTTTCACTGTAAATTGCAACATATCAAAGAATATATGTCTTGAACTTAAAAATATCAGATATCTCTCAACACATGGTACAGATGTTTTACCTTTCCACATGCATTGCAGTGATGCCGTCGCAGTGTTAGGCTGAAGTCCGACGTGCAGTTCATGCACATCATCACATGTGACACAGGAACTAGAACAGGAGCAGCCTCTCCCAGAGACATCCATAATTTCTCTCTCGCCTGGAAATATGGAAAGTGATTTTTACACATTTAATTGTTTAGGTTACGTAACATTGAATACTAATGCATTGCACTTCATGATGATTGCTGGTTTGATAACTAGACCATAGATATAAGACATTTCCTCACACCTCACTAGAGCAGCTGAAGGTATTGAGGCCTGCGGCGTGATCCGCTATAGCTCGGCTCAGCGTGTGGAACCAGTCCTCTCTCTCAGCTAAAGAACTATCAGAGAAATAAAGAAGCTGTGCTTGAAGTTATTGTATGACATTGACAGTAGATATCAGTACAGACACATGCAAACCATTATGGAAATGCTCATTACCTTGCTGAGAGGGTGATGGAAACATCGCTGACTTCTATCCTGAGCGTGTTGAGCACATTGTCTATGACAGGTTTACTGACCTACAGACACAAAACACTGCTAAGTTCTTGATAATATAATTTAAATCACACCTCATTGAATATGTTTTGTGTCCCAGTTGGTTAACCAAAAAACAAAATTGATCTCCTGAGAGACGCTAATGCCTCACCTTCATTCCACTTAGAGTCAGTGTGTTCTTCAGCCTGTATTTACCATCCTGCTGAGGGTAGGTGTACAGCATCACATCATTCATCTGCAACACACACACAAACATGTTCACTATCTAAATGAGACATTCCATAGACTAGAAATTGTTTTTATATACAGCTAATTATAAATACTATTACCTAACCCTAAACAGCACCCTAAATGTTCTGCGTTTTTACAATTTTTTTTTTTACTTTTTTGTTTTTAAATGAGGATTTCCCCAAAAGGTGGTTTTGTCAGATTTAGCTCCCTTCTGGGAACAAATTTGTCCCCCAAATATGCACACACACACACACACACACACACACACACACACACACACACACATACCAATATACAGTACACAACTATATACACAATTTTAAATAACATGAGTGCATAGAGCACATAATTATTTAATAAGTTAAACCATTCAGATTAGAGATTACAATTATTTAATAGGATAATTATATTATTATTATTATAGTTATTAGTTGCATTATTACTACTATAGACAATACCACTACTACTACTAATAAGAAAAATAATATTAATCATAATATATTTAAATGATTTAAACCTAAAATTAAAAGTGAGCAAAATAGTGATGCTCGTCTTCTGCTATAAGTTAATCCATTTATATTAGATATGTAAGTTATGTAATTACAATTATCAATATCATTATTACTATAGTATATTATAACTATTGAATAGAACAATAACAATAATAATATTTACATTATTTAAACCCAGTATGAGCAAAACTAGTGATGCTTGCCCTCTGTTATGCTTATGTCTACCACAAGGAGGCAGTAAAAGCTTTAATAAAAGGGAACCCCCACTGTCTACTACAACAATGTACCAACCCCCCCACATAGATGAAAACCACAGTAACATTTTATTTTAGTGTCCTTGTTATACATGTTAAATGCACTTACTATAGTAATAGTAAATTCTGCCTAATTACAAGCAACTAATCCTAAACCTATAAAGCAAGTACATGATGTTAATTACTCAGTAATTAGTACTCAGTACTTATTTTATTTATTTACATTTTAAGCCATCTTGAGGCCCCCTTGAATTTTACTGAGGCCCCCCTAGTGGGCCCCAGACCCCTGTTCGAAAACAACTGCTTTAAATAATTTTTAAATGATCTATTCCTGTCTGCTCAGTGCACATTCTTCCACAAGTGTAGCACGTTCAGTTCAATACCCAAGAAAGCGATTCACATGTTCAGTACAATAGGTTGGGCTTGATAAAAACAGTTTACGGGATATTTTCTTCTTTGCTTAAGTCCTGACAATAAAGTAGTTGTGCTAAGAACACAGACTCACGCCCACAAACAAGCTAGTCCTACACTTCAAACTATTGTGTTTGCTAGACATATATAGCTCTAAACAAAAGTGGTGACATCATCAGACACGCAATGTGCATGCCCCAAACATCCGCAGTTCACAGGCCGGGTCCAGGAATTCAGTCCCGACGCTTCTGAGAAAGGCTGTTTGGGTGGAGGCAGCAGGACAGAGCATACAGCCACAACAACCCTCAAACAGCTGAGAATGTAATGGACACAATATTGTCCTTAACCATTTACTGTCAATTATCATGTAACTAGTGTGTGTAACTCCCTTGAAACATGTGAGAGAAAACAACAAATAACAAATAATAAGAGTCATACGAAAGCGATCTGATACAATTACAGTAGCCAAAAAAAACAACAATGCCCTGTTTACACTTCTGATTTGAGCCGATTCACTTATTACTCCATAAATTAAATCCAGATCTCTCTAAGAGTCATCGTTACCAGGGGAACCTCTGACATCATCATATTACACCTAACCAGTGCTGGACTCTATTACATCAGTCACAAGCTCTCTCTAAAAAATAAATAAACAAAATTTAAAAAATGAAAACACCAGTCAGAGCTTGATTGATTCAGGGAGAGAAGAGAACAGGAAGCAGAGGACGACAGCAGGAGAAGATGAAGAAAGACTCCAGTATCTAGTGTCTTCAGAGCCAAGAATGTCACAATATCAGAAAAGCTTCCTGTATGTATGTATACACAGTCCAAAATTAACATTTGTCAAATGCCAGTTTTCCAGTAACATAACAAGGAACTACAATTGCCAATGTGAAAATGTTACTTTTTATTAACAATTTTGTGCCAAGTGCAGTTTCACCAAGACTAGCTCATCTCATATTCGATGTTGCAAATCACACACTGTACAATTAGTACCAAATACACAATATAAATATTTAAAAATGTATATTATATTATATTGTATGCATTATATAATATTATATCATCCCCCGGTTTCACAGACAAGGCTTAAGCCTAAGCTTAAGTTATAGACTAAAATGCATGTCTGGGCTGTTAAAAAAAAACTGGGGGGAAAAAAAAAAACTAGCACTGACATACCTTAAAATATGTTAGCACCAAAAGTTACGGACTGCAGCTTTAAATGTCCTAATTGAACTATGGCCTAATCCTGGCTTAACCTTAGCCCTGTCTGTAAAACCAGGCCAATATAATAATATAACATAATATAACATAATATAATATAATAATTAAAAAAGTTTATTTAATACTTGGAAAATGTAGTTTATTTAGCACTTAGAACTTTAGAAAAAGGAGGAAAAAACAGATGGAGAGAAATGTGCTTTTTCAGGGTATATACAGGAATCATGGAGTTAAATTTAATACCTTTGAAGACCTTTTTTAAGTCTCTTTCCATACATTTTAAGACCTCATCTCCACTCCAAGTTTTAACCGGTTACATCGGCGACACTTTAACCTTTACTATATATTGATTGTAAGATAGCACAACTAAAAAGACTTACTTTGTGATAACTCCTTATCAATACAACATAATTCAGAAGGGAGGGAACGAAGCACAAGACAATTAACTGAGTGACTAACCCAATGCAACCCAAGAAACAAGAATTAGACCAATAAACAAAACTGACCAAACTTATTGAGGAGGGAAAATAAAGCTCTCCGAGCTAACGGGGCAACGAGTTCACACAGTATATTCGAAAGATGTATTTGTCACATCAACTCTTATAACTGTCTGCAAACCATAGCTGTTTTGTGGAACACTTCTCATGACAAACATCTGACTGATCAGACAGTTTACCTGTGATTACGGAGTGCTTGATTCGATACAGACTTGACAGAGTGTCAGTACTGCTGCTACTGCACCTGATCATGTCTGAATGATCATGGATTCAGGTAAAATAATGATCACAACTATTACATCATTTTAATTGTGCATCCCAAGACCATGCCAGCAATAAAAAAAAATACAGCCCAAAGTAGCCAAATTACCATTTCCCAAATATAAAAATTTAATTTCCAGCCCTACAATACATATTTTACAGTCACTGTTATGCACATTTATTATAAACACAGCTCAAATACTTCATATTAGTGTGGCCCAAAACATTTAGCCGTTTTATTACAGGTAGAATGCAAAATGTTTCAGTACAAGCATTTCAACCAAATGTAATTTATGCAATATTTCAAACCTTTAACCCACTGGGGAAAATCAACCCATAGCAACAGTTTAAAAGCAGCCCAATTTCGTGGAAAAAAACAACAACAACCCTGCATCCAAAACGATGCAGGAGAGATAACTGACAAGATGTTGGAGGATTTGCTCCTCAACAGATCCCGAGCTCATTGACAAATATCTTTTATCGTAAGATGTGCTCCCTTTACACAGTGAAGCAACTGTAACTGTGTAACTGTTAACTGTTTTTTAAGAGAATGATTTCTTTCCACACCCAAAGATCAATATACACTACTATTCAAAAAAAAAATTATGTTTTAAGTCTCTTATGCTTACAAAGGCTGCATTTATTTGACAAAAAATACAGTAACAACAGTAATGTTGTGAAACACACACACACACACACACACACACACACACACACACACACACACATACCAATATACAGTACACAACTATATACACAATTTTAAATAACATGAGTGCATAGAGCACATAATTATTTAATAAGTTAAACCATTCAGATTAGAGATTACAATTATTTAATAGGATAATTATATTATTATTATTATAGTTATTAGTTGCATTATTACTACTATAGACAATACCACTACTACTACTAATAAGAAAAATAATATTAATCATAATATATTTAAATGATTTAAACCTAAAATTAAAAGTGAGCAAAATAGTGATGCTCGTCTTCTGCTATAAGTTAATCCATTTATATTAGATATGTAAGTTATGTAATTACAATTATTAATATCATTATTACTATAGTATATTATAACTATTGAATAGAACAATAACAATAATAATATTTACATTATTTAAACCCAGTATGAGCAAAACTAGTGATGCTTGCCCTCTGTTATGCTTATGTCTACCACAAGGAGGCAGTAAAAGCTTTAATAAAAGGGAACCCCCACTGTCTACTACAACAATGTACCAACCCCCCCACATAGATGAAAACCACAGTAACATTTTATTTTAGTGTCCTTGTTATACATGTTAAATGCACTTACTATAGTAATAGTAAATTCTGCCTAATTACAAGCAACTAATCCTAAACCTATAAAGCAAGTACATGATGTTAATTACTCAGTAATTAGTACTCAGTACTTATTTTATTTATTTACATTTTAAGCCATCTTGAGGCCCCCTTGAATTTTACTGAGGCCCCCCTAGTGGGCCCAAGACCCCTGTTCGAAAACAACTGCTTTAAATAATTTTTACATGATCTATTCCTGTCTGCTCAGTGCACATTCTTCCACAAGTGTAGCACGTTCAGTTCAATACCCAAGAAAGCGATTCACATGTTCAGTACAATAGGTTGGGCTTGATAAAAACAGTTTACGGGATATTTTCTTCTTTGCTTAAGTCCTGACAATAAAGTAGTTGTGCTAAGAACACAGACTCACGCCCACAAACAAGCTAGTCCTACACTTCAAACTATTGTGTTTGCTAGACATATATAGCTCTAAACAAAAGTGGTGACATCATCAGACACGCAATGTGCATGCCCCAAACATCCGCAGTTCACAGGCCGGGTCCAGGAATTCAGTCCCGACGCTTCTGAGAAAGGCTGTTTGGGTGGAGGCAGCAGGACAGAGCATACAGCCACAACAACCCTCAAACAGCTGAGAATGTAATGGACACAATATTGTCCTTAACCATTTACTGTCAATTATCATGTAACTAGTGTGTGTAACTCCCTTGAAACATGTGAGAGAAAACAACAAATAACAAATAATAAGAGTCATACGAAAGCGATCTGATACAATTACAGTAGCCAAAAAAAACAACAATGCCCTGTTTACACTTCTGATTTGAGCCGATTCACTTATTACTCCATAAATTAAATCCAGATCTCTCTAAGAGTCATCGTTACCAGGGGAACCTCTGACATCATCATATTACACCTAACCAGTGCTGGACTCTATTACATCAGTCACAAGCTCTCTCTAAAAAATAAATAAACAAAATTTAAAAAATGAAAACACCAGTCAGAGCTTGATTGATTCAGGGAGAGAAGAGAACAGGAAGCAGAGGACGACAGCAGGAGAAGATGAAGAAAGACTCCAGTATCTAGTGTCTTCAGAGCCAAGAATGTCACAATATCAGAAAAGCTTCCTGTATGTATGTATACACAGTCCAAAATTAACATTTGTCAAATGCCAGTTTTCCAGTAACATAACAAGGAACTACAATTGCCAATGTGAAAATGTTACTTTTTATTAACAATTTTGTGCCAAGTGCAGTTTCACCAAGACTAGCTCATCTCATATTCGATGTTGCAAATCACACACTGTACAATTAGTACCAAATACACAATATAAATATTTAAAAATGTATATTATATTATATTGTATGCATTATATAATATTATATCATCCCCCGGTTTCACAGACAAGGCTTAAGCCTAAGCTTAAGTTATAGACTAAAATGCATGTCTGGGCTGTTAAAAAAAAACTGGGGGGAAAAAAAAAAACTAGCACTGACATACCTTAAAATATGTTAGCACCAAAAGTTACGGACTGCAGCTTTAAATGTCCTAATTGAACTATGGCCTAATCCTGGCTTAACCTTAGCCCTGTCTGTAAAACCAGGCCAATATAATAATATAACATAATATAACATAATATAATATAATAATTAAAAAAGTTTATTTAATACTTGGAAAATGTAGTTTATTTAGCACTTAGAACTTTAGAAAAAGGAGGAAAAAACAGATGGAGAGAAATGTGCTTTTTCAGGGTATATACAGGAATCATGGAGTTAAATTTAATACCTTTGAAGACCTTTTTTAAGTCTCTTTCCATACATTTTAAGACCTCATCTCCACTCCAAGTTTTAACCGGTTACATCGGCGACACTTTAACCTTTACTATATATTGATTGTAAGATAGCACAACTAAAAAGACTTACTTTGTGATAACTCCTTATCAATACAACATAATTCAGAAGGGAGGGAACGAAGCACAAGACAATTAACTGAGTGACTAACCCAATGCAACCCAAGAAACAAGAATTAGACCAATAAACAAAACTGACCAAACTTATTGAGGAGGGAAAATAAAGCTCTCCGAGCTAACGGGGCAACGAGTTCACACAGTATATTCGAAAGATGTATTTGTCACATCAACTCTTATAACTGTCTGCAAACCATAGCTGTTTTGTGGAACACTTCTCATGACAAACATCTGACTGATCAGACAGTTTACCTGTGATTACGGAGTGCTTGATTCGATACAGACTTGACAGAGTGTCAGTACTGCTGCTACTGCACCTGATCATGTCTGAATGATCATGGATTCAGGTAAAATAATGATCACAACTATTACATCATTTTAATTGTGCATCCCAAGACCATGCCAGCAATAAAAAAAAATACAGCCCAAAGTAGCCAAATTACCATTTCCCAAATATAAAAATTTAATTTCCAGCCCTACAATACATATTTTACAGTCACTGTTATGCACATTTATTATAAACACAGCTCAAATACTTCATATTAGTGTGGCCCAAAACATTTAGCCGTTTTATTACAGGTAGAATGCAAAATGTTTCAGTACAAGCATTTCAACCAAATGTAATTTATGCAATATTTCAAACCTTTAACCCACTGGGGAAAATCAACCCATAGCAACAGTTTAAAAGCAGCCCAATTTCGTGGAAAAAAACAACAACAACCCTGCATCCAAAACGATGCAGGAGAGATAACTGACAAGATGTTGGAGGATTTGCTCCTCAACAGATCCCGAGCTCATTGACAAATATCTTTTATCGTAAGATGTGCTCCCTTTACACAGTGAAGCAACTGTAACTGTGTAACTGTTAACTGTTTTTTAAGAGAATGATTTCTTTCCACACCCAAAGATCAATATACACTACTATTCAAAAAAAAAATTATGTTTTAAGTCTCTTATGCTTACAAAGGCTGCATTTATTTGACAAAAAATACAGTAACAACAGTAATGTTGTGAAATATTATTGCAATTTAAAATAACTCTTTTCTATTTTAATATTTTTCAAAAAAATTGTTTAATTTAATTTCTGACAAACAATCGTAAAACAATCATACTGGCTCCAAATTTTTTGTGTAAGTTAACATTATTTAAAACATCGTAGCAAAACAACACCAAGATGTCAAATCTGTACAGAGCCCAATCTTCTTAAAATCTAATCATTGTGGAAGTGAGTGGAAGTAATGGAGTAAATGTACTTCAGTGACTCTACACAGGCAAACAACTGAACTGACTGCTCAGCCTAATGTTTTTAGTGTTGTTTTTCAGCTGCGGTGACTCAATGTTGTTGATCTGTTGTTCTCTGGGCCTAGTCTTCAGTGTGCTGTCAGTACAGTCCCAGCACAGGAAGCTGGCATCCAATGACCTACAGCAGACATCCTGAGAGGAAGTACGACCCTCGAAAACAAGAATGCTATAAAGAGGGGTGGGGGTAGCCTTGTGCTACAGCTAATGTGGCCTCCAGTGTCTGTTTAACAGTTATGGCACACATAACCCAGCTCGCTTACTCTCTAGGAAACTGACTGCCTTTTTGAATGACTAAATATCAGCGATACACAGATATACCTGTCTATAACTACTCAGTACCCAAAAGGGCAATATAGGCACCTTCATATTAATCTGAATGTGTCAGGCAGCTAGCTGTAAACATGTTGACAGTTTAACTAACTCGCCAAGCAAGATTTCCTTCAGACTTTTGCTCTGCAAAGACAGTATTTGGCTTTAAAGAGAAAACTGACTGTATAAGAAAATAGTTTTTGCTAAATTCAGCTATAGCTACACCTACTTGCCCTCTGAATGCAAGACAGGCCTAACTGAAAGAGAAGCTATTAACACTCTTGATTGGTTTGATCAATACTGTTGAACACATTTATTTACAGACACAAACAAAGTCAGGTGAGCTCCAAACGGCTGTGAAGCCACCTGTTCTAAGGAATGTAAATAAAGCCACTTTAGCATACTTTCAAAAAGAGTACTTATTGCAGAAATACTATACAAGGGTGCTTTTTTTGACTCACTTAAGTACACCTTTAAAAGTAATTTCATAGTTAGTTCTATTGTCTTTGAAATATGGTCAAAGTGTATTTATGGTAAACTAAAATATACTTTAATGCCATTTCTACTGAAACTTGTATGTCAGGTATTTAAATATATTGTATTAACACATTTGTAATGATGAAGTTGCAATTTAGCATGTTTAAAATATATTAACTTTAAATGTAATATCAAATAACACATTACAGTTAAAATTATGAAGTACACATCAAAACTGTATTTCTTTATGACAAACGATTATTAAAATGTAATGATTTAAAATGTACTTTAACATAAAACTTTTAAATTTGACATTATTGCATTATTACAAAGTACACTTTTTAAAAGTGTACTTAAGTATGTTAAGAAACAGTCATGAAAGTTTACATGCTTTAGGCGCACTTAAAGGAGTAGTTCACTTCCAGAATGAAAATTCTGTCATCATTTACTCACCCTCCACTTGTTCCAAACCTGTATGAGTTTCTTTCTTCTGTTGAACACAAATGAAGATATTTTGAACAATTTTGGTATCTGAACAGTTCATGAGCACCACTGACATCCATAGTAGGAAAAAAATACTATAGTCAATGGTGCTCATCAACTGTTTGGATACCAACATTTTTCAAAATATCTTTGTTTGTGTTTAACAGAAGAAAGAAACTCATACAGGTTTGGAACAAGTGGAGGGTGAGTAAATGATGACAGAATTTTCATTCTGAAAGTGAACTATTCCTTTAAGTGGCCTTTTTCATTAATATTTAATTAATATTATATTATCTGCAAGAACAGTTTTTTATATATACTTGAAGATTTGAAGTATACTTCAAGTGCACATTTAATACAATTAAGCACACTGAGAGTAGAGAGAAGAATGACAAGATACCATGAAGAGGTGTCTGGGTTGCCTGCTTTTCCGAGAAACCTTCATCAGAGTGCCCTCCTTGACAAAAACCTACAAAACACACAGGTGCAAGAGGCCAGGTGAGTTATGGGTAACTGTTATTTACTTAAACCTTTGATGTCAAATCACTGTTACTGATCTTTCAGGTTTTACTGCCAGTAAAAACAATAATAAGCTATAAACATCAAACCAAAAATACAGCATATGAAGCTGAATTTACCCTTCCTGGTTGGAGAAGGTCTCTTTTTCCTCTCACGCTGTAGTCGATGTGGACCAAACGAAGCAGGTTCTCCTGGGATTGCGATAGAGAAAGAATGAGAAATAGAACAAGGAAATCAAAGTGTTTATTTCTCATTTGTGGATGAGAAAAAGGAAGAGCTGTTCAGAAATGAATAGTGGTAGAAACAGAAGGTTTCTGTGACTGTATGTGACTATGTGTTTGGAGATGCCTCTGTGTCTGGCTAATTTCACACTACTCTCTTAGTTTCTGGACACCTGGGACACTTTGATGACATATCCCCTCGCTCCTTTTTCATCATGTATCAACAATACAACACACTCTCACACACAGAAACAACTCACCCCGTGCTTTAGATTGTCATTAACCTGGTCTGCGACCTCTGACACGATTACTAGCGCAGCTGTTGATAAAAAGTTGCAACCACAAGCACAATTAGTGTTTTCACAGGTCAAACATGATCAGTGGTCATCATTTTGTGAGAGGGAGACGACAACAATACCTTGTGTGTCTTCATACTCTTTCGAATCCGGAGAGAGGTTGTTTAAGTAGTCTGGATAGAATGAGATGAAAACCAAATTACTGATAAACAGACAAAACAGCTTCTACTTCACCATCTCATATTGTTTTAAACACACTCAAACAGTCTTATGTTTTATGTACAAGATCCAACATACAGTACATGATTTACAGTTCATTTTTACTCCAAACCTCAAAGTCATTGGCAGCCTTTGTATGGTGAAATTTAATCATCAGTGTTTATAAAGTGACAAATCACTCACAAGTGAAATACCATCAATCAAAATGTGAACACCAGGACTGCAAGTCAGCAACAAAGACAACAATTTTACACCTACTATAAGAATATGTCCATAAAGTGTTGAGTTTTATTATTTAATTACTGTATTTCCTTTGTTTTCTGATTCAGTTTGATGAATATAGACTCCAGACTAACGAGGGGAGGACAGGGGAGCCTCTTAAAGAAGAAGTTACAGGTCTGTGAGGGCCAGAAATCTTGCTTGTTTGTAGGTGACCAAATACTTATTTTACCGAGGAATTTACCAATTAATTCTTTAACAATCCTACAATGTGATTTTCTGGATTTTTTTTTCTCATTTTGTCTCTCATAGTTGAGGTATACCTATGATGAAAATTACAGGCCTCTCTCATCTTTTTAAGTGGGAGAACTTGCACAATTGGTGGCTGACTAAATACTTTTTTGCCCCACTGTACATGTACTTCCAACATCTACACATGCAGAACCCAATAAATGCACCCGTTATTTTTGCATTATTTCTATACTATTATAATTATTTATTCATATTTTGAATAAGCTTTTATTTTTATATTTTCAGTTTTCATTTTAGTAAAGTTTTAATTAGTTTGCTATATGTTTGTGTTATTTTTTATTTCTTTTTTAATATTTTAGTACTTAAGCTTTTACATTTATATTATTTCGGTTAGTCGCCAAAGGCAACATTTTTTATTTTAAGTTTGTTTAATATTCACATATATTTTTTCAGCTTTATTTTAATTAATTAAAGCATTTTTAAATATTTTAGTTTTAGTTACCAATAACTGAATTGCACAAATTATTCCCTTGAAAAAGAACTAAATGCGAAAATGCATTAACTATGGAAAAATGGTATCTGGACTAAATATTTGAATCATGCAGTGTTCACCTGTGAGGATCATGCGGTACTGAAGCACTCGCACAATGACCCGCAGCAGCTGGTGTTTCAGAGGAACATGAACTCCTTCTGCATTCTGTGTCTGGAATGCAAACACACATGCATATGAGAAACAGGACATAAAACACAACATACAATGCATGCAAACATATTATAACTCTAAACACAGGCATACAGAAGGTCTTGAAAAATAAAAAAAAATGCATTATCATATACTAATGCTGCATCCATGTAACATAGGACTTATAGCACATCAAGCTATTTAAATTTTTTTTAAATGTTATTCCTCATGATAAAACCTTTTTAACTTGAAGAAGCTGCCATTTTGTTGTTTTTACATGATGTCACTACGGTGAAGTAAGAGAAATCTAAAATCTTTGAAAATCCAAAACACACACACACACAAACATGCACAATAATACAATCAAGAGTTGCATGCCACCTGTGCTTCCTCTTGACCCACATGATACAGTATCATAGATACTAGGGGAAGTTGTGGCCTAATGGTTAGAGAGTTGGACTCATAACCCAAAGGTTGTGGGTTCGAGTCTCGTACCGGCAGGGATTGTAGGTGGGGGGAGTGAATGTACAGCGCTCTCTCCCACCTTCAATACCACGACTGAGGTGCCCTTGAGTAACCCCAACTGCTCCCTGGGTGCCGCAGCATATATGGCTGCCCACTGCTCCGGGTGTGTGTTCATGGTTTGTGTGTGTTCACTGCTGTGTGTGTGCACTTTGGATGGGTAAATGCAGAGCACTAATTCCGAGTATGGGTCACCATACTTGGCCACATGTCACGTCACTTTATATTATTTATTTAGATCACAATGGCACCACTTAGAAAAGCCCATTTTAAGGTTATTCAATGACCTTCCCTTTTTCCCGCTACACAAAAACCTGAGTACCTCATTCCATCCAATTTCATTCCAATTATATCATTCACTGGGAGAAAAAGTGAACAAGTGAATCAGTCAAACATGCAGTGAGAAGAAATCAATCAAGGCCTAATTGACTTTGACACGTCATTGTTCATGCTAACTCTGAGGAGCCAGAGGGGATGTGAGACGTCAGTAAAGGGCAGATAAGGGCAAATAACTTTAGACTTATGGACATCCAGAGACATGGGACAATGCTTGAGATCTTAAATGAGGAAAGGGAAAAGAGATGCCATTAATGACCTTGTGAGGGGTGTGAATGAATAGATGAAGAGATGAAGAGTTGTGGCTTCAAGAATAAGGAACACAGTCAATGGTTGTCCAGTTTGCACACCTGCCACAACATCATACCCACAACACCTCTGAAAGACACCCTCTGGCTTTCATGATCTTTTTCCATGACAGTTCTCTCAGTTTCCCTGTGTCTCTATCATAACCTCGCTGTCTTCATCATCATCATAATTCACATGTTCTGTATGTTCACATTCCTTATTTCTTTTCTCTTTGTCTACGTTTACACTGCAGTTTATCCATCGCATGATCCAACACAGATCTGTTATTTGGATGATAATGAGAACATTAAAAAAAAAACACTAAATCTGACAATTAAATAGAAAATACAACATATAGGCTACTGACCCATTCAATTTTTACACAAATCTAACTTGAAATATCTTTAAATAATATTCACCCAAGGGTGAATAAAGTGCAAAATTATGATTTCTATTCAATTTAATGTTTTATAAAATATTTAACTGCAGTTAATAAAATAAAATATGAATTATTCAAATATTCAGATATTAAATAAAATCACATATAAAATATTTTATATTTAAAATATTCAGTAAATTGATGTATTACAAATATAAATGTCTAATTTCATATTAAAATATGCAATCATATTAAATTATATTACTCACCTCTAGAGTAAACAAAGCACAAAATCATGGCAATTATTTAATTCAATATATTATAAAATATTACATTGAATTTAATAAAAATGCAATAAACTAAATACTTAAATATTCAGACATTAAGTACAATTTCATAATATATAAAATATTTAAAGTATTCAGTAAATTGCACTATGAAGTATTACACAGAAAGGTAAAAAACAGACTTGTTTAAAATAAATACTGATAAACTAAATCTACATTACAGAAACAAGTTAAAAAGTTAATGTTAATGCACATTATTTCATGTAATATCAAAATATGCAATCATATTAAATAACATTATGAAATGTGTTTATGATGTTATGTTAAGCATAAAGTTAATCTAAATTAGAAAGCGGCTGAAGCAGCGTCTGCGTGGACAGCTGATTTAATTATGGTTGTTTAAGAAGACTGCTTGGCTAATTAGCTTTTTTCCGCCTCATTGCCTAAATGCCAGATCTGTGTCTATGTGTGTCAGTGTCTTGTTCTGTCATTATCTTGTCCTTTCCACCTGTACAATTTAAGAGTAACACTGTGTACTAATAATACACACGCAAAGAAAGACCATGCCTGTTCATAGTGCATACATGATTTTGAATGCAAGAATGAATTTCTACTATAAAGTCTTCAGCGCTTTCTAATAATTCTGAGTTTACATTTGCAAATGTGCTTTTTTATTTCCACAGAATAAAAAATAAAAAGGTAATTTCAACTTTTTATCTATCAATTCATTTTTTCAGAATTAGTTTTTTTCCCAGATCATCAAATTGAGATCAATTCCCAAACAAACCACACAAAAGTCCCACATTGCGTGTCAGACCTCACCTCAAACCGTTTTACCAGATCCCCGAAAGCTTTACTCTGTCTGCAGCTCTCCTCCAGCAGTGACATGCTGCGGTCATAGTCTGAGATGTAGGTCGCGAAGGAAGAAAACTCAGCCCGGCGCATTAATATGACATCAACCACTCTCTGACTGTCCTCCCTGAAGATGAATGAGAAACAACGAGAACTTTTCAGAGGGCATCCAAGGACACTAATGCTGGCGTTATAATGGATTGTGTTACTGTAGCATCACATGTACTGCCATGAAAGAGATAAGAGTGTGTAATGTAATGTGGGCAAGAACATATTAGCTTGTCCATATTAGTATGTGGCTCAGGTCAGGTGGGGAGATGCATACAGTACAGTAGATGCAGATTGCATGCATTAGCACCTTGTAAAGGATGCATGTTATATATAACATAAGTAAGGAATTTTTATAGAATGACATGCTATAAAATGTGTTCATAAATGTGTAAATTTTGCGTCTGTTGATGTGCATTATTTCAGTGTACAACAGTGTAATGTGTTTAAGTTTGTGTGTTCTCACCAATGTTTAATGCGGGTCTCCAGCTCACTGAGGATCTCATTGTGCAGGTGGTAGGCCTGAGGAAGAGTGCTCAGGATCTCGTCCAACTTCCCATTTTCTAACAGAAGTTCCTCGTCATCTCCTGCTGACTCCACTGCCACCCTGAAATCCTGGAAGAACATGGATTGGCATGAGGAATCATGAAACTATATATTTCAAGATGGTTCATAATAGTTTTTTCATCAGAACAGATTTGGAGAAATTTAGCATTATATCACTCACCAGTGAAACCTCTGCAGTGAATGGGTGCCATCAGAATGAGAGTTCAAACAGCTAATAAAAGCATAAAAAGTAATTCACACTACACCAGTGCACTGATCAAGCACCATTTACAAGCCAAAACAGTTCAAAGCAGTTCCAAACAAATATATTGGTGGATTTTGATGTGAGAAGTGTTGTGATGTGAGACGAAGCGTCATTATGGATTATGGACTGGTATTTTAGCCAGTCACTATGGTTTAAAGTGAAAAGCGTCTTAATGATGAATTTGTTTCTTACAATCATACAGTTTTTCACTTCAGAAGACATTAATTGACAGACTTTAGGGGTGAGGATTACTTGTGAATTATTGCAATATTTTTATCAGCTGTTTGGACTCATTCTGACGGCACCCATTCACTGCAGAGGATCCACTGGTGAGCAAGTAATGCTAAATTTCTCCAAATCTGTTCCAAACCAACCAAATCTGTTCTGAAACTAACTCATTTACATCTTGGATGGCCTGAGGGTGAGTACATTTTCAGTTAATTTTACATTTTGGGGAACTATTCCTTTAAATATTTTGTACTGTATGATGATTTCAGCTGCCAATAAAAGTGTACTAGTGACATGACTGATCGTGTTTAAATCCATTCCACAGGATTCCACATTCCATTTTCAAAATCAGAATGTGCTTTATTTGCCAAGTGTGCACAAACACATGAGTAATTTGGAATGAAGCTCTAGATACTTATATACATACACATCCAACAGGACAGTTAATAAATTTGTAAATTAATAAACAAGTAAATATAATCAAAACTGTACTGTAACATACATAAAAAAAAAAAAATGAGTAGAATTATGGTAAAAAAAAACTTTACAGCAATTTACATCTAGATTGAGTAAGCATAAAGCTTAATGAACAGATGTTCACATTAAGTATTGTATATACTTAATTTACTGTATAAAAATGTAGTTACAGTACATGATACATATTCTATCTATAGCCTAACACCTGGGTTGAATATCATAAGGATATTGTTCTATAATAAAACAGCTAGATAGCAGTGGCTGTGCTAGATGTTCAAAGTGGTGATATACAGTAGAATTCATTGTTTATATTAATAACAGTGGCAAAAAAGTTAAACAAAATGGAAAGAACTATACCAACTTGAAAGTGATTCCGTGCAAATACATAAGAAAATGTGTACTTGTCCTGTCCTCTCGTGACTGTGAATTGAACTCTGACCACATTCATCCCTCAGGATGAGCTCCCAGGCTTAAACTACTGGATTGAGCTAAAAGCAGCCTGTGCACAAGCCTCCAGCTTTGACACAATTTTTGCCCACAATAACACCCGTCAAGGGAACATGTTATTAGTTTCTGCTGAATATATTTGTTTTGGTCATAACAGACAGTTAAATTGAGTGGCCATGAGCTGGCCTGTTCGGGGACCACTAGCCTGATGGCTAGATCCAGAGAGGATTTATTTACTTGACCTACTATACATACACGTCATGTACCTTATGAATCGCCTAGAAGGGGGTCAAATCTGCTCTGAAATGTCTTCACAGGCAAAGCCGTTAGGGTATGTGTATCCGTCATGAGGAAAGTGATGACATAAAACAAAGTCTGACATGTATGCACACACAGACGTGTAAGCAGTCATGCTGGGAGGTGGTATGCTGGAATTCCTTTCTGAGCTTCACACATGAATCAATGCATATCGATCACAGCCGTGTCAGCATTTGTCAATGCCCTCATAAATAACTCAGAGCTGTTTTACAGTCCTCCTAGGTACTATGAAACTTGTTTCCTCCGATAGCATTTCAATAGCTGAAACTCCCTGACAAATTTCCAAATGTTCATTGCAATGAAATTGCTTTGTTTTACAGTCGCCTTCTCAAGTCTCATTACACTTTTATTGCGTTCTAAAGTCAGACGCATAAACCACGACACAGGAATGAACTGGCTGGTGGGAGATACTTGTATTCTTGTATCCGTTTATACTTCTGCATGCTATTCACTTCTCGCTCAAGACCAAAAAAAAAGAACCAAGCTGCAAATTCTCAAAAATCACATGCCTAGCAACCTGCATTAAAAGCATAACTTTCCATTAGGGACAGGTTCTGGAAATTCTTTGTATTTTTGTGTTATTCAATAACAAACAATGGAACAATAGAGCACATGTTCTGTCCTTTAGTGTTCTGACGGAGCACTCTGTTCCTTTCAGAGTACACAAAACAGAGAGACTGAGAGAAATATAAAAAAAATAAAAAAAATAAAATGGGAAGAATGACAAGCCAAGAAACCCAGGAAAATGTTTTTACTAAGATTTGTACCTAAAATTTGCAATGAGAAATGAAAGAGAAATAAAAAAAATATATAAATGAGACAACTGCTGACATAAAGTATGAGTATGTAGCTATAAAATACTGTAAATCTTTTTTTTTATTAATTCAGCAAGGACATAACTAATTGATCATAAGTGGCAAAGAGATAATATTACAAAATATTTCTATTTCAAATAAACACTGTTCTTTTGAACTTCCAAGGAAAAGTCTCCATTTGATCTCAATTTACTGCAATCTCACTGAGAACTCGTAAGTACATTTTTATTAAAAAATGTAATGCAGTGACTTTATTTGTGCTATTTTGCTTTGTTTCTTCAGCTTGTTCATCTATAGAACCAAACAGTACTATCAAGTACATTTAAGAGATGCTAAACCTAAAAACTGTATAAATCCCCATACCACAGTGGGGAAGGCAACACCCTTAAAGTCACCATTGACAGCAGCTGAACACTGACTTAATGATGTCATAGTGGACAGAGAATCAAGGTGACTCAGATCCTCCAGCTCATTATTATTCAGCGCAGCACAGAGAGAGTGATTAATGACATCTTTATCTTTTCCACATACCCACTAATTGTTAAATGCATTATAAATATTTATAGCACATCAATATCAAACTGAACGTTCTCCCAAACGAAAGCTAGACATGAAATACTATTGCAGCAATGCTCTGATGTGCCTATTCATTTGGCTCCATTCACGATCCCTCCCATTATGCTGCTCAATGTAAATCTACGGCATTATGTACGAATAAGGGGAGTTATAATTACAGTTCTACTGTAATACAATACAGCATATGCATACGAGGCACATAGGCATGTATATGATTAGCATTCTTTAGTCGTTAATAGGACAGCGATTCTATTGACTATGGCTTATTTTATTCAAATGAGGCAATTAAAATGGTGAATATGAAGTATAGTAATTTACAAGAGGTGCACCGTATGAAGAACTCTAGTTCCCACTGGATTGTGTTAAATTGCTCCCTCAGCCCCACCTCGACTTGATAATTGGGATACATATTGTATTAATCATGAAAACAAAAGTGCTAAATCTGGTTACGAGGTTACAGTCTAGAGGGCAATGTTTAAAACAATAGGTTACAGTTTTTTCTGGCTAATCTCATCACTCACACGGACCCTGCAAGCCATGCACACACAAACACACACAGCCCTATAGGGAACCAGGTTAGAAAGACACTTGGCTGTCAGAGTGGGAGAGCTAATGAAAACAAATGATAACTTAAATTGGACACAGTACATGACAGAGCAATATTAAGTACAGTGAAGAACCAATGAATTCAGACACACAGTAAAACTCTCCTTCTACCAGACATTGAATCTTTTTTTTTTGCTCATTTATCGTCACAAACTGGCGTAAATACAATCAAAAAGTCAAAACTTTATTGGCATAATTGTCAGGTGTTTATTTGCAAAATATGGTAGTATATTAATAATACTAACATACTATAAAGAAAGTTAATTAGGTAAAGCGCTACACGAACTGAAAGGGGAAATTAAGCATAACAATAAATAGGCTATAAAAATATAGCCCTAACCAGTTAATATAATAATATTATTATATTAGCCTACAGTTATATAATAATGATAATAATAATAATAATTATAATAATAATATACAAATATTAAATAAAAAGACAATAAGTTAACGGATTTACAAGACTGTGGGATGGATAAAAATGTTTTATCCATGTGTGATAATCGCAGGTTGCTATGGTCACGCAGGTTTGTTTACGTATTAAACTTGTGGCCACAAAAAAAATATTTATTAAATAAATAAACAAGTACTTTTTAATTTTCATAATTTGCAGTGCATGTATAGTGCCACAATCAATCAATAATCAATAATTAAATAAAGTTTTCAATACAAGTTAAGCTGCGATACCAAACAGGACCACAGGGAGACGCCAAAGACCACTAAAGCTCCTGCCTTGACCTGACTGTAACTATGGGCGAATTCCAAACGGAAGTGAGCATCCCTATGCCCTACTCCCTACGAAGGGCAGAGCCCTTGAAGTGTGTTTTTTGAGGGGTGCAGGTAATTACTGTCTCGTATAAGCGTTTGGAACTCCCTTGGCGAAGGGAATGACTGACCAAATGTTACTTTGTCAACGCTGCACGTGCATGCAGCATTCAGCACTCCATCAGTTTTCAAATAAATATTTATTATTATTATTATTATTTTATTCAAATATTGTCTAATTGTGTCTTATTTACTATCAAACGTTTTCAAACTAAACTTGCTTAAACTTGCTTACACTAACCGTCTTAAATCATATTTCTATCACTGACGAAAAATATGACAAATCTAATTAGCCTATTCTATTTACGTTTGTATGTGAACTCGAAATCAACCCAAACTTTGCTTTAAAAAGCATCGCAAGATCTCCTAACCGAAGATCACATGATCACAAATGGAAATCACTTCCGTGAAGTGACCATCGCATGTTCCCTTCGCTAACGGACTTATGGAAGGGCCCTTCGTGAAGGGAATCAGTTGTTCACTTTCGTTTGGAACGTCCCTTCAAATGTCAT